GGCTTCTTTTTGAAATACTAAGCTGCTTCGCTCTGCGCGCTACAAAATTGCCCCGCCTAGTAACGATTTTTCGAAATCAATCTTGTGTGAATGTATTGCGTTGATTACTAAAATGATTATATTCTGGCTTTTGGGTGTTTCAGTGACGGACAAATAAAGGTTATTTTAAAGTTGCAACGTGTTTATTTGCTTATTTTCCATTAGTTATAGGCAGGACCACTACTAGTGTCATAGATATATTATTAAACCAATTACTCTAACAAAAGTGTTAGAATAATTTGTCCCGGCATAAAAAATAACCATCACTATCCTAAAAATAAACCAAACCTTTTAAAATGCTCCGTTGGAGTTGGTTAACTTTTGATTTAGCAAGTCAATATTTCGACTCAAATTAGTTATCCTCGACGCTTTGAGAAACTAAAACATTAATAATTGCAAGAAAAAATTTGAAGCACATTTTCAGGTCAGAAGAAATGAAATTAAGGCATAGATTTTTAAGAAAAGCTGCGCAATTTCCATTTTTTAATTAAAGCTACGCCGCATAAACATCATTTTTATCAAATTTTTTTTATTGAATTTCGTATTCGTACTTTCTTTCTCTGCTTTGCCTTTAGTTTTTGTAAGAGGTTTTCTTTAATTTTTATATATGAATATTGCTAAATTATATTTAGTTTAACAGTTTTGTTGAGATCCATTTATTTACAATTTTTTCATAAAGAACGAAGAATATTTCAATGGGCATGAATTTGTATGTTTTCACCATGTGATTCAAAATTTAGTTAAAAATATTTTACCCTCGGATTTTTTAGATAAAGGAAGACACCCCTTCTCATAAATATAAGAAATATTAGAGTTGTAATAATAATAATTCCATTTCTAAAGACTGTTTCGAAATAAGTATTGTCTGCTAGTAGACAGTTGGCTCTAAAATATATCTAAATAGTTTTCATTTTATATTCGTGCTCGCGTCAGAAAAAAACAACGACCACCATTACACTTTGGTTGATGAGGATTTATGAGCAGTACCGAAGGCATAAACAGTCGCTTTAATGTCGATTGATAAAAACAAATTATCAATCCGAATCGCGTTGTGTAAATCAATATGTCTTCGGGTATTTTCGTTATTCTGACAAAAATTCATACCTATACTAAGATTTATAATTTTACATAAAAAAGGAAAAGGTTAAGTGTTGGATCTAAGCTTAGTATCCGAAACTACAGTTAATATAACTCCCTACATAAATATAGTTTCACTTACTATATTTCTTTTCTAATTATTCATAAACCAAATATGTGAAAAAATGGTAATGAAAATATTGAACTCTTAATATTATGTGTTAAATGTTAATAATGCAAGCAAGCAGAAAAAACAAATCAAAACTTTCGTGTTTTAAACACAATTCTAAGATGAAAATGGTGAAAGGGTCTTCTTAAATTTGACTTGCATAAACACTGAACCCTTATTGCTAATACTAAAAGTAAAATCCAGTATTGTTGATTCCTCCTGAACTAGTACAACGCGGATGGGGCACTCGAATGGTTGTGTATGTGAGAAAATAACTTTTGAGCGCTTAAAAAACAACGGCGTGAAGTTTCTAATAATTGCTACCACGGACATCTACACCCTGTATTGTGAACTATGGTGATATGATTATATTTTTGTAAAACTTTAATCAACATTCAACTCAGCGGAGCTTTATTGTTTAAAAGCTTCACACACACATTCGCATGAACACAAAAGACCGCAGTAGCATTGGATTAACATGGAACACGCATCGGTGGGTTGTCTCCTTATTCTAAAATTACAGACCGCAAGAAAATACTTTGTTTGCAGGACAACAATTGACCTTATTGCGTAACGGCGTCCTTGCCCGATGACTTATCGTGTAATAATAGTTCAATGGTTCCGTTTGCGAACGAATTCAGTTGCCGTTTGCCCAAAGCTAGCACGAGCATTGCATTACTGTGTACGGTGTAGTTTATGTTGTAGAAAAGTAAAAGGCGTAGGCTATCTAGAACATTTCGTTTGTTTCGGGATTTGGCAATGTTTGACATTTAACTTTTTGCTTCCTTATATCGATATAAAAGAACCGTTTCTCTTGTAATTTTGATATTTGCTAAGAAAAAAGTCGTACCGTGCTACAATTAGGAAAAGTCCTGACAAAGTAAAACGGCAACCTCTGATTTCAAAACACAAATGAAAACTAATAAGAAATTTTCACTGATCAGCCAGTTTATTGTGTAACTAATGAAATCCGCATTTTTTTTACTTGCAAATGTCGCCTGTATCCTAGCGGTAAGGAAAGAGTACCGTGCACGGATCTGATAGTCCGCTATTAATTCGATGTTCAGAAATATGTAAAATAAATTTAATTACCTTTTTTGACAGCTATTCGCGAATGGGATTTGATATAAAATGTTGGTTGTTAATGGTTGGTTGGTTGTTGTGAGTTGACAATTGAAATTAATATTAAATTATGAAAATTGACTCTCTCAGCGAATAAGCAGTTCAAATAACATATTATGAAAACGGACGTTTTCATAAACTTGTTGCCAATTTTTAGCACATCCTCATCTTAGAAGTCTAGATTGCTGACAATAAGTCCGTTTCAACATATATGACGGCTGCATCTGGCGTAACTTTATCACACCAAACAAAAACCCCTAACCAAGCAATTGACCTGAAATAAGTAAATTGTAGATTTTCAAAAAGTTTGCGCAAAGATGTTGAATAAGATTGTCCATGATAATGCTGGCTGATAATGTTGGCGGAGAATGTATTTCTGTTTCCAACATATTTAAAAATAATTTGGTTTGGTTTCCCATCTATCTACTCAGAATCTGAATCAGGGTACCCCTAGTGTTATTTATTTGTGAGGGTTGCTTTTTTTGTTTCAAACAGTGTACTCAGCTCTAAAATGCCATTCAAAACAATTTAAGGGCGTAGCCTAGTAGCGATTCCTTACAAATAAAAATATCCCCACACGAACATTACGGGAAATACTGTATAACATATTGTGGAGCAGATAGAAAAATTCCATCGTCAAACTGTCGTAACAATAAAAGAAAGTGTAACAAAATTCGCACAACGTACATATTAATAGAAGGCCAAGCATTTTTAAAATATTTAAACAGCATATGCTCTAATAAAAGCGATTATGAAATCCGGTAATTAACGACACTTTCGCCTGAATTCCTGTATTCCTGTATTTGGCGAACTTGCATATTTACGGAAGATATATTAACGTGATGAAGTGATAGTCGTAATAGAAATTTCATTTTACCAGAAAATATCCAAATAAAAGTATTCTGCAATTCAACCAGCAGCTGAATAAAACAACAATAAAAAATTTGGGTGTTAATTACCAATGACACATATTGCAGTAATTGAAATAGACGGATAATATAGTATATGAAACTCCTAGTGTGCCAACTATCGGCCAAAGTGCGATAGTTTGATCTATAAAGCGTGTATAAAGTTTATATGACCACACCAAAATGAATAAATAAATTCTCATGTTTTTTAGCCGAAGTTGAAACCAGGAAAGATAATATAAAAATTAGGAAGATAATAATCAACAATATTTTTCTTGTATTTTACTTTAAGAGATGACTTTCTTGATATTTTAATCAGCAATCCGCTTATTATTCAAAATGACTGAGGCTAAATTGTTTTCTTTAAACAGGTTGTAATCTCCAACGATAATAATTGTGGTGGAAACATCAAACATATTGCCTGACTTAGGCAACCCAACATACCATAACTTAAAGAATACAATGCAATTACTTCCTTATTATTGTCAGTTTCTTCATGAAAAAATGTGTTGTTATTTTAGTTTATTGGCTAGTTTATTCCGTTGGTCATGTTAACAAATTATTGATGTTTTGTAAGACTAAGACCACTATTACATTTTTCCTCTTCTTGGGTATTGTGTGTGTTACTTTGCAAAGAGGATACTTATATGTTCTTTGATTAGGTCTTGGGCGCTGCAAAGTAAATCGTTCGAGATTTTAAGCTGGGAGAACTTAAATTTCAAGGTGTGTACACTGTGGCCTATTACTGTGAGAAATTGTTCGTATGAAGGTGCTGCGTAGTAGAGGCCAGATATTGAGTTTTTTATTTTATCGGTTCTTAAAAATGTTTCTCCAGCATCACGTGGTTGTATAATCTATTTCATCTACTTCAATTCTAAATATAATATCGGAACCTACCTTAAATGGACTATTAATAAAGAAATATGTAAGCAATTTGGAAATTAAGGAATGAATAGGTCTGGAGAGTTGTTAAAGGTTACCGTTCTAATTGACTGTTGACATCTACAGGTAAACGTCAAAATTGTGTGAAATGTCATTCTTTTACGAATTTTGAAATATATTTTAACCAATCTTATATTTTAATTAGTTCGACAAAATTCAGCCAGATTACATATATATTGTATATTAGCAATTAATGTATGTAAATAAAAAAATAAATATTTCAGGATTAGTTTAAAATAGCTATTTGGTTCTTTAAAACTGTTATAATATACAATTTGCTTAATACTTAAAATTACTAAAATTTATTTTTTACATATTTATTTCGTAAAACTACTCATCATTTTTCTTTCTTATAGTGATCTCGCTTGCAGGAATAAAATAAGTAATAATTTATAGTTAGTGGGTAAGTATCTGAAACAGTTAAGTGGTATTCCCTACAAAATAGCAAAATTAATCACTTATATTTAGTTTTGCAGGTAAAACTAATATTAAATGTGGTTCACAAATTCTATAAAAATATAACGCTAGTATTTAAATAAACCAAATTCATATGTCAACCAAATTTAAGGATGCTCACGTAGAAAAGTACTAATTTTCTATATTCATCAAGTTTATGTAAATATAAAATAATGCCAAATCATTAAATAGATTTTTAGTTAGAAATTTGCAATCGCTCTTGACTTACGGTGGATGAAACGCAGAAGCAAACAAAAAATTTACATTGGTAAGTTTTAAAAATCAAATCAATTAAAAATGTTTATTTACAAAACGTTCTTACACAAAACAAGTACACACGCAAAGGCTTACAATTCTAGAACAGCGCTAAAAACGTGACTAAGTTCACACCTACATGTAACCTAAATTCAATTACAGTCCAGAGCATTAGGATATAAAAAAAAACATGGCATCAAAACATTAGTTAGGTATTTACATAAATAAAGTTGATAGGTGCTCGAATATGCCAGCCAGTTAGAGTTAAAGTTTCTGAGCGTTTTTTGAAAAAAATTTAAAATAACTAAGCTAACCAGCAATTGCTTATTAGATGTAGCCAAAACTGACGTCATGCAGGGGATTTGCATTTGAGCTTTGAGGAAGTGCATAATCCTTGCTTAATTGATCTAAGATACTTCCTCCGCTACGTCCACCGAACGGATTACCCGACGAAACTGGTGCTGGCACCGGTGCAGGTCTAAGAGAAAACAATTTAATAAATAGGAAAATTCTACAAAAAGATTCGGCTGTAGCTTTTGTATAGGGCGTGTTATTGAAAAAATATCATATAATTTATTGAGTGTTCAGAAGATTCCGGATAATGAAAGGGCTTATTGTGACCTTCATAACTGCAATACCTATCATGCAAACTATTGTTGCTACCTCAACGGAAAGTACTTTAGCTCATAATTGACTATTGTATAATAAATAAAATAATAAAACAATAAATTATAAATGACAATCTGAATAAATAATTTGCAAACATATTTCGTGGTTCATGGCTGTGTCTGATTTGTTTACAAACTCCAACAACGGAGTCATTTAATTAGTAATAAGTAAAATAAGCTGTATGTGATAAATGGATTTCACGTCAAACAGGAGTTGTTGATCCCAAATTGATAATTGTATCTGTTGTAAAGTTGTTATTTTGTGAATTTGCAAATTAAGTCGACGGAAATCAATCATCAAGCTAATCAATTTTTTCAGTACTTCCTTTTATGAAAGTAACTAATACTGTTATAAGCATCAACCATTTATAGTGGCGAGAAAAAAAGTTTTGATATTTTCTTTCACGATCCAAAACTAAATGCAAAATTATGCTGTTAAAGAAATATAACCAAGAACCACAAATAGTTATACCTGTTATTTATGTTTGACAACAGTAAAAATATTGTGATTTCAAACAGTTTAAGACAACTTAATTGATCTAGAAAGTTTTAAAAACAAAATTTTTAGGAAACCTTTTACTGCGCCAGAAGATTAAGAAACGAGTAGAGTTATACAAGTTGCAGATGCACATCGGTTGAAGGTTTAATTTAATTTCATTTTAAATAAATCTGGTATGGTGTTTGTTTAACTAAATTTTTTTCCTCATTATGAAATAGACAATTTTTTCCAGATTAAATTGGTGAGTGTAAAAACATTTATGCAAATAATAAATGCAGTATGTTTTATGTTGTGAGTAGATAAAGCTAAAATCTCAAAACTAAGACCCAGTGGCACGACAAGCACTTTAGTTGAGTTCAAATAAACTTTATTATTATTATTATTCTCGATTACTAGGTATCCGTTATAATGAGTATTTTTGCCGTATGTGTCCATCGGCCCTGAGAATCACTCAGTAAATTATATGATGGCATTTTAGTAACACCCTGTAGTTGTTTTCTTAATAACGCCGCGCGTTTGTCAAACAATCAGAAACTTCCGAGGCAGTATAAAGAAAACAACTGATGGGAAAAGAGAAACAGATTTAATGTAGAAAAGAGAAATAATTACAGAAGAAAGTTAGAAAGCGAGACTTCAGAATGTCAAGTTGAGCACGGCAATGGATTCCGAGTTACCACCAAATGGACTGCAACATAAAGGAATTTTAGTGATAATTCAGACAGAAGAAAAGTGCGTATCAAGCGTTAAAGGAATATTAAAACAAAAGTTAACTGTAATCTACCTGTATTGAGGAGCTGGCGCTGGTCTAGGGGCTGGTCTTGGGGCGTATTGCGGTGAAGGTGGTGGAGGCGGAGCTGCAGGTTGCACGAACGTCAGTTTGGGAGATGGTCGTGAAAATCCGCCAAAATCATCGAAAGGAGCTGGTTGTGCGTTGTAGACTGGTGCGGGTCTAGGAGCCGGGCGCGGCGCTGGTGCAAAAGATTGAACTGGAACGGCTCCTAAAATAAAATATAGTTAAAAAAAAAACATATACATAATCTATACCCTTACCTGGAATATTAGCTCTAGGTGGTACGGGTGCTGAACTTCTGGCGGGCGACGCCTGAAAACTTTGAGGTCCAGTAAATTCAAAGGAGTTTGCGGTTTGCGTCAGTCTGCCTTGAGAATATTGATTGTTGATGGTATGACTTGGACGAGGTGGAGCCGGCTCATCGCCGTTGTCGGCGTATTCGGGAAGAAGGTTGCCATTTTTGTCAGTCGTCTCGTCGACTAAAGTGGGAGGGGCTACTGTGATGCCTGTGATTGAGAGCCACAATAATCCGTTTGATAACCTGAGAATGGGCTATAACATACCTTCGCCAGCGGGTTCAAATCCGTATTTGGTTGCGCCATATTCGATAACCCTTATTTTACCAACATCATCTACGTAGCCGTATTTTCCTTTGACTTCTCCGGTTGGAAGCTTGGTTTCGATTTTGAAAGAACCATCGGCGGATTCGTAACCGTACGTATAGGATCCATCTTCGTTGTGCCTGCAATAAGCCTTTTGGTGAGAGGTAAATTATCTTTTATGATTCACGGCCCACAGGTTAGCCGTTAATAAAATAAAATCGTTCAAAAAATTTGGTAATTTTTTGCATAAGCTGTTATGTAAAAAATGTTGTTCTGTTGCGTATATATAAAAAAATCATTATTCTATTGTACTATTTACAAATCTGGATTTCTCCTATGTCGGTAGCTGATAAATCGAACTTGCTGAGGTTTCGTTCTGTTGACCTCTTCAGAGCTAAACTGAAACTGATCAACAACCGAGGCCGAAGAGATTACAGCTATTGGAACGGATAAAAAAAAACTGAAAAAGCGAATAATTCATGTATTGAGATAAATATTGAAAAGAACAAGCGCTAGTTTTCAAACATCTTGGAATCCAAAAACCATATTTTAGTCATACGTTTTTGCAAAATGTGTCAATTTTGCATGTTTCGCGTTCTTTGTGTTCGATTTTCAAACCAATGCAAACTGGCTTGGTTTTTAAGATTTAGGAGGTGAAACGAAAAATGGAGCCATTTCATATTAAACACTTTGTATAGCAATGTGATGATGAGAATAGAATCTCATACATATTTTATTATTATTATGGCCAAAAGCATTTCAAACTCTTTTTAAGTGGTATATTTACTCACCCTAAATATCGCAGATATCAAAAGCGTACTCAGAGATGTTTATAAAGTGTAAATTTTGAGATCCAAGCTAAATGTATTATAAATCGAAAAGTTTATATAAGTTTATTTCAAAAATATATACTTAGGAAATTATAATTTTTTTAAAAATATAAAGGGTGTAACATTAAAAAAACTTCGGCTCATATCTTAAAAATTATGGTTTTTGCGAAAAATCTGAATGCGCAACAAAATTCTATTTATTACATTTCAAATGCAAAACTAATTTGAAATGGACGGCATCGCAATAACAAACAAAAATGGAGATACTGCACTAACTCCTTAATAATTGGATTCAAGGGTAAATAAGGGTAATTTTAATTTTTCTTTATGAATAATTGATGCGTATCAATTAATTAAAAGATCCTTTTCCATCATTTAAATTTAAATTTAATTTTAAACGCATTTTTTAACGTAAATACGAATATCAAAATATTATGTAAAAATAATCAAGAAGTAGAATTCAATTTTTTTTTACGGTTTGGGCTAATTTATCATTTTCGGTGAACTTCTAACCTGTTATGGATCGTGAATCATTCTGAAAATTCTTTCATCACCTGTCAATCTGCTTGAGAATCGGTACAGGTGTAGGTCTAGGTGCGCTGGACGGTCCCGAATAATTTGGTTTCACTTTGGGTGGGGCAGGTCGTGGCGGTAGCTGGAGCGGCGAAAAATCAAAGTCTTGGGCGAACGTTGCCGCCACGATGGCGAGCACAGTCACCTGTATTACGGAAACATTGTCGGTATTATTTACGCCTGATGCAGGACGGCTGTATGACAATGCGTATTGTGTTGTATTAGATATTTTTTAAGCACCAATAAAAAAGGAAAATGTGATATATTGAGGGTCAGTTAAAAGTCAAACGCGTCATTGAAATATCAAGCCACTTCACTGGGCGTTGGCCGTTGTAAAACGTTTGCGTTTAAAGACTAATCGAGCGAGGACATTTCCTTGTTGCCGATATTTCGTGCCAAAACCGGACGATCTTGGTACATAAAAAACCGCTTTGGAGATTTTGTAAAGGTTATAAACCGGACGTCAAATTATAGGGCATGCAGTCAAGTGCTTAAGGTCGTGTCATATTCTGCCAGACTTTAAGCATGTGATAGGTTCGCAAGTCTGTTGGAGATGCATTTTTCAGTTTTGTGGCGACTAGAGGATAGGATCAGACTGGAAAACATTTATGGACAGCATGTAAAATCAAATTTTAGAAAACAGAAATCCATATATAATTTTTCGTACAAATTTTTGCTGAAGAGACCTGGAAATGTTATTGTAGAATGCAAAACGAACTTTACAATGAATCAAAATACGAATTTCACGTGCAAATGCAAGGCTACGGGTGGCGCGACTTGGGTGAAGTCAATTTTTGAAATATTGCGATTGAATTAATTAATAAATCCCGTTCGAAATCGCAGTTATATATTATGGAAATAGTTTTCTAACGAATAATATGCATATTAAAACCGTTAATTTTTAGTACTTACGTCACTTCGTAGTTCCCTATTTTCAAAAATTTTCACTGTCGAAAAATCGATTGACTAGAAACCTTGGAGGGGTTTTAGTATGATTAGTGACAAAAAGTCTAAATTAGTTTTAAAAGTTGTGACGATCATTTATTAATATGGTTATAAAAATATATTGATTTGAATTAATATTATTTCGCGTTATAACATTGATTGGCTAAGTTAATTGTTACTAAAGCTGTTGAGATACGTTAAATGCATATAATGTTGAACGGTATAAAAAATATAGGCATATTTTAATCTTGAAGGTTGGACCCCACCCAGCATATTGCACTGCAGCACAACAATAATTATTTATTCTTTTTGTACATAGAATTCGTAAATGAACATTGTATTCATCAAACCGATGCATATATACCTATGTTGCACCCTTCAATAATATTTTTTTAGAATTATACTTTAATAAAGAATTTGCTTAAAAAATTTTTTTTTCCCTCTTCTATTCTATGTGGTAATTTATTATAAGGAAATTTATCTTAAGACCATATAAAAGTATTCATAATTATAATGTCAAAAACGTTTCTAATTATATCTCCTTGGAAGAGCCTGTTATGGAGTATACCGATCTGTATTCTTTTTCACTCTGATTCCGGATTTCTGGCATATTTTGATATTTAGATGATGATGTGAGCCTGGGCAAACACGTAATTAACAGGTTTAACAAATATTTGTGTCTACCGAAGGAAATTTATCAATTCAAAAGCAATTTATTTGCATTTATAATTTGGTTAGTAGAAACTAATAAATATTATCAATACTACGGCTGGAGTGCTGAAAGTACAGAACATAATTTTGAAACTGGCATTTAATTATCTTAGGTTAACGAACGCGGACAGATTGTAAGATGCACTTAATTGTCTTATACTTAGTAGTATATTGGAGTTTGAACAACTTGATTAAAATATTTATCAAATCTAAAATCTATACAAGTATACATGTATACAAATATAGTTGACATTGTTTCAAATAAGTGAATCTCTCCAACACTGATAAATGATTTTAAGTATTCTCAAGGCCAGTGTTATTAAGCACTGTTTGGAGGATTTGTTATATATTATTGTATTGATTTAGAAATTCAGACTGGTACGGAAATATATAGTTAACTGCTCATAAATAGTTCTTGAGCCTTACTGGAGAAACACTGTGTCGCCAAGAAAAATGCAAATCAGTTATCAAGCTCATTCAAAGCAAAGTATGCAATACGAATAACGCTTATACGATTTCCTACACACATTATTCCTTCATAAAAAGGAAAATTAAGTATTATAAATTTTGGTTTCTATGATGTCACTTAAAACGCTTTCCATTAGATGTATGATGGTCTGATGGTCTATACTGACTTTCAGAATTTAGCTGTATTGTCAAAAGAACAAAGAAATCTTGAATATTTCTGTGTTGCTGAAAAAAAAAATCGAAGTTACTCACCCGCAAACAAGCCTGTAATTAATTATCAATATTTATGGAGTACAAGCTAACTTAGTAGAATAAAAAATATCAATATTATTTAATGGGCTATATTCATTACATCAACAATTCAACGTCCTGTCACTCATTTCTGGGGCAGGACTCACCGCAGACCTTCGGCCAATAAAATGAAAGGGTCCCAAAAAGGATTGGCGTGAATGAGAGAAGGGAGATTGTGTGCTACTCACGTATTTCAACATGTCTCGTTGACGAAGGCACCGCACTAGAGTGGTGCGGGGGTCGACAATTCCGTTTTATAAGGAGACCGCGCGCCGCTGGAAGAAGGGGCAAGGTCCTGTGACAAAACGCGGGTTGTTCCTGTTGCCAATGTTACCAACGTTCCAGGATCCACGTGCGACTCTAATTTATTGGGATTACTGGTAGCTGAGATTTGTAAATTTTTCGTCGGGATGTGGGTTGCCGACCAGTATTTTGATTTTAATCAAAAGCTAAAATAAGACAATAGAGTAAATATCTTAGTACTCCATTTGAAATTAATCAAATAAGAATAGAAGAAAATAGGGTAGAATCGCTTCTAAAATATATATAAAAAGTACTGAATTTTTCGATTGACGAGCCACAATCCTTAAAAGCGAAAAATATAAATATTGTGATAATAAGTGTCCCATAGTCAAAAGGGTATTTTTAGGTCAAAAGTTATAATAACGAAATGCTTCGTTTTCGAGGTACAAACTATCATTATCGAAAATAGCGAAACCTCGCGGGGTATTATGGGATGAGAATTTTTTTTCTTAATTTAGGTCTTACTTATGGAGAGCGCTCTCTGCATGACTTTTCTCACCTGCAATGTCTTACGACTTTTTGCATGACCACGTATTCCACTTGTAGTAAAAAAAATAATTTCCTCAATCATTTTTATATGAAAAATACCCTCTTATTAGAAATTGCTAGAAGCAAACGTTGTCGAAAGATTTTGGTTTGAATTTCACTTGGTTGTGCTTATATTAATCAACATAAATTGCTTTTAAACAACATTAACCAGATGAACACTAAATAAAAAAAAGGGTGAAAAAATCAGATCAAAATTACAATAAATAAATTATAGACAGAAAACAAAAAGGTTAATATTGTTAATAATCTTTTAAATTCTCACTAACATAAATTAAAAATTTGTGAGGAGCATCTTCTTTAAATCTAACCAGGTCTGTTGCCAATTTATTCTGTAATGATCATTTTCAAGATGAGCAATATTTTATTTCTAGAGAAGGTATTTTCAATATTAAAATTAATACTCGTATGGCCATTCATTGTCTTTAAAAACCAAGTCAGTTGTCACAATATATGGGCCATTTTTGGTTAAATGATATCAAAATAATTTAAGTTCAAAAATCTCATCCAAAGCTATTACATGGGATTAGGTTGGAAGAATTGGAATGTCTATCCCCTCTCCATGAAAAACAAACGTATCGTACGGAAATTTATAATATAGTTCATTTAAAAGACAAATATTGTTTGTTGTTTCTTTTCTCCTTATTTTTAATTTCCGTGTCTCTGGTGTTGAGCCATTAATGTTAATTTTTTTAAGCATAGACGCTTTCAACAGCACCTTCCCTTGGAACTGAGCTGTTTATTTCTGCATGTTGTGAAATTTGATCTGCCATATATAATTTGTAAATTGAAATAATAAACTTTATTTTCATTATTACTATTATTATTATTATTATTCAATTATCTCGAAAACTTAAGAATCACCCTTGTGAAATATTGGAGCCTTTGTATTGTATTTGTATTTGTATAGTCCTCAACTTAATTGTAGAAGTAATGGTTGCCATTTTTACTCGCAGTTGTAATCAAATTGTATTTCAATAATAGTCTAATAGAATAAAAAAAAATTGAGGCCATCATGGTTAAAATTGATTAAAGTAAAAACAAATTGCTTCGAAATTTTGTAAATCTATTGCCAACATGTTATTTACATTTATTCTGATTATTGCTTTCTTTTTATATTTAGATTTACAGTTAGATGTTAAAAAAACGGAATCTAATCAATATATCTTGGATATTACAAAACTAAGCAAAAAAATTGGGATTACTTTAAGACACAAAATTTTGCTTTGAAAAACACATCTCGGCCTGTTTGTATAGCTCGAGGTATTTTTTATCTGCTAATCTTTAAAAAAGCTTATGCGATGTTCTTGTGGTCGTCTTGCTTGACAGTTAACTCTTCGCAATATACTGAAAAAATTAAAAAATGCTGCCTCCAATTACGGCACCCGTAGTGAAACAGCCGTCGCCACAAGCTGATAGATGCGGATTGGACCAATATGAAGACGCGGTGCTTGATCCACCGCTCTTGTCTCCATTTCAAAAGCATTAAAACGGAAACCGTGAATACTTATGAAAAAAAATAAGTCGTTATTCCTGGTCACTGGCCTGGTATATTTGAAAGGTCCCTCAGTTACGACTTGGCTAAACTATGTAATGCCTGCCATATTCCCTTCAGAATGCGACAATAAATTCTTTTCCTAATAAATGAAAAACTTGGTTTCTTTCAGAAATGTAAAAAAATTGTTAGAGAGGAGGTAGGTTTTGGTCTTTTTTTCTTTCTATTCATAGGTAAATACTTAATGAACATGAAATTATAGTTTAAAGCTTTTGGGAATTTTGTGATACGTGGATTATTTTTATTAAACTTACTAACAAACTAATTTTATAAATATGCGATTGGCTATTATGAACTACTTAATATTAAAACATTGTAAAAAGTAACTGTTCTAAAAGAATGTCGCCTGGCGTGAAATCTGACTAACTTTCTCTCCTTTTTACACAAAAGCTGTGTTTGATTTTTTACAGAAAGTAATAAGATACATTTATAAAGTATATACTATAGAGCACTTGAGAGGATTTTTGAAATATTTGTTTCATTAAAGACTGTAAACTTTAAACTTTTAATCTTTTCAGTCTTATTAATTAGAAGGTAAATTAAGTTTAATGCTTGGCGATAAATGTAATTAGCTTAACTACAAATTTATTATTCGACAAAGTTTCTTTGACTATTTCTTGGTGTAACAATAACTTTTAATAGCGATTATTTGCATATACTTAAAAAGAGTGAAACCTATTACGTCGTTAAAAAATATATTAACAAGCTCATATAGGATTTTGTTAAACAGAATCGGTGTTTTACATTCTTTTTACGTTTAAAGTGTTTTCACTTTCGTAGATTGGTAAAAACAGGACCTGTTATTGCGCGACAACTTTTGTTAATTCAAGTCGGGTACCGTGGCTTAAGAAATAGAAGAGCTCACTCATTTTCGTCGAGTTATTCTTAATTTCACATATAATTTGAACTCATTATATGATATTTGGGAGCAAGTATTTTGGTTTATGTCTCTATGTTTATAAGCAGTAATGAAAATAAGTTTGATTTCGAAAAATCGTCGGCGAGCGGAGCAAGTTCGTCGCAAATAGCGCGAATCAGCTTTTTATTTTAAAAAGAAGGCGCTTCGCGGATTCTTGTAGCTACGCAATGTTTTTCTATCGTGTTCCTGCGGACCACTATGGAACTTTCGCAAAATATAATTTATTGTGAGTATACCCTGTATAAAGTGTAATTCGCATCTCTTCGAACTTCAAATTTAAGGCATACTTCGGTAAATATCAAAATTTGTACTGGAAATTGCAATTTAAAATTATATTTTTTAAAATATCTTGCGTCCCCTGTATTATAGACGAAACCTCAAACTCTCTCTCAACACAGTTTACGATACCGTTCATATCAAGTTATCACATATTAAAAGTTTTTCATGTATCGCCAATAATTCACCCACAAAAGCGGAAATTTCTAGGATCTATTAGAATTTTTTGCCCACAAACGACGTACCCTGTATATAATTCCTACAATGTTCGAAATAGAGGATATAGCTCTGGATCTCCTTAGTTTCCTGGTATCCGAATTTTTCCAATGGAGTAAATGGCTTTCAAAAAACTACTTGCTTTCTGAAACCATGCAGTAAGTGGTAATTGTAAATGACGTCGTCGAGTCTAGATTGAGGACGAGAAATGGTGATTTTCAACTAAAACACCTTGTATATAATCGAAAAAATGCGTGAAACAAAAGTTATAGCGCCGGTTCTCCCACGTATTACGGATGTAAAATGTTTCCGATCGGATGAAAAAATAACCAAAAAAAAAATCAAAAATTTAAAAAAAATACTTCGCGTTATTTTATTGTTCCCAATTTAAAGAGTCTAAATGCGGGTCCAGACTTCAACTTCTCTCCCAAGTCTGAAGTCGGTAGCTGCAAATTTGGAGTACTTATTATTTTTTTTAATATTGCACGGAATATCGCGAACACCCTGTACAATACTTAAAAACCGTAAATACAAAAGTTTAAGCTGGGCTATATCGTCATGTAAAAGAAACTAACATCTAAACCACAGATTTGAAATTATTGCCAATTTTCTATAATAGGGGGACACATTTTTCAGTTTTTTTGAATTAGCGGCGCACCCTGTATATTTTTGAAAAGTTATCAAGAATAAAAGTTTATGGAGTCGTTTCCTCTGCGTCTTCTGGTTCAAGAAATTTTCCGGTCTTGTAAATGGTTTTTGTTTTGTAGACTTTTGCACAAGCGATTTTTATATTTTTTAAATACTTCCCGACCCCCCAGCCCCCCATTTTCAATAGCTTCCGTCACGGGACAAAGCTGCATCTATGTGCCAAATATGAAGTTGATTGCTTCAAATCTCGGACACTTATCGTGTTTCATAGCAAGGTCCAAAAAACAGTCGAAAATCGCGAAAAAAAGATGAATACCGACGTCGGATCATTTCTAATAAGCTGTGCCCCGTGGAGGATTAAAAAGGAGGCAAATTTCAATTTTGTAGCTCCAACGGTTCGAAAGTTAATCAGGAAAAACCAAAAGACAAGAACTGAGTACGGAGAACGGAGAACGGACAGACAAAAAAAAAATTTTTTTCGACGGTGATCATTTCTGTACCAACGACGATCCCGTAAGACTTACCGTTACCGAGATATAAAATTTTTATACTAGCGCAGATACTTTCGCAAATTCGATTTCATCGATTTTCGAAAGTAACAAGATTTTATGGGCTATCTTGTGTAGACAGATATGTGCGTATTTAATGTTTATACCGTATTTTTAAACCAGTTTTTCATTATTATTACAGCATTACAATTGTGTTATAATGTATTTAGATATTCATGCTCTAGATATGCAAGTGTGTGTCTCGTGAGAGAATTGACCTATACTTCCAATGACGTTAAAAAAAATCTTGAAAGTAGTTTTGTTCCTTGGTTTCGAACGTTGATAATATGGCAAGAGCATTGTCAAGTATTAATCAAACATATTCAAGAATAACAATAATAAAGGGCATTAGTTTCCAGCAATTTTGAGAAACAATCAATTTAAAATGAAACATTATGTTGGATAAATATTCGTTTACAATTTAGATTTTTTCACGCCTCACTTCAATTTAGTCCCACCATTCAATCATTTTCCTTGTAAGATATCTATACAATAACAAAAACTAGTTCACAAGGTATCCGAAAACATTCCTGAGAAATATTCAAGGACTTCCTCAACTCCACCCGTATTTAAAATTCCATTTATATGTCTCAGTATTTTAATTAAGACAATTTCTCACACTGTCCGAACTATGCGTAGATATCGTTCTATCTTAACTATTTTATTTAGTAAATCGCATATAATGGGTAAATCTGGGATATATTTGCACTACGAAATATCTGATGGTTGTCGCATGGTGTGTCTTTTTTAAATGTCAAAAATAATAAAATCTCGTTTGAATTTGAGCGCTATATATTTTAATTTTATCACAAATTAATAACAATCTTTTCATAAAAAGTAACTTAAAATAGGAATTACGTAATCACACACACTGCCAATAATATAAATAAACTTTTCCTAAGTTATCTTATATTAGGTTAGAACAAGGACTAGTTTTCTTCAAAACTCACTTCGCAAATATAAACTTAAAACTAAAACGCTGTTTAATATTTATAATACGAAAAGTAAAAGTAATACGAACAAAGTAAAGAGGAAAATTAAAGCTTTTTTTAATAAATTGAAACTCGTTGATTTTGGCGACTCTGTGGAGTAAAAAAGAAGGTCAAGGAAAAGAAGAAACAAAAATAAACGCCTAGATAGATAAGTTGGTTAACAGTAAAAGGAAAGCCGATTTTAAATAAAATTAGATAGAGGAACAGTAAGATGTGGATTTAAATAATTGCCTAAGTTAAAAAAAAATGAACAAAGGAAAGTTAGCGAGCAAATGTATTGGCAAAAAGTTAACTTCAGATAAAAGACTCAAACCTAGAACTACTTATTTACAAAAGTACTTGAATATGAACGAATTTATCTATAATTTACGGTATACGAACCGGTCCAAATGTCAACATTTGAAGCCGGGTGTCCTTGAAACTGGTTGTAGTTAGGATAAGGGTTAGGGGCGTTCCAATAGTTGTTCCTCTGAGGAGCGTAATTGTATTGCGGAGTGGGAGGTGACGGGTTGTATCTGTTGTAGTAGTTATTGTAGGAAGGTTGTGGTTGGGCCGGTGGCGTATAGGCGGGTTGATAAGACGGCTGAGGCTGATATGATTGCGGAGCTTGATAATTAGACTGATAAGATTGTTGTGGAAATCCGGAGAAGGTTGTATGATACTGCACTGGCGGCGGTGGTTCGTAATTGGGATCGTTTTTATAGTAAACGGACGGATCTTCGCGATATTGCCCGTCGTCTTCTTCGTTGGGACCTAGTGGTCGTTGTGCATCGGGATTTTCGTTTATCGTTGGTGGCGGAACCTAAAGCGATATTGACAGAATAAAAAAAAATAAAAAATATATAAAGCATCACCTGAATTTCTGGACCGCTTGGGGCGAATCCGTGCTTGCTTGCTCCATACTCTACTTCCCTCAAGGCTCCTGTGTCGTCTATGTAGCCATATTTGCCGTACACCTCCCCGGTTTGGTATTTCGTTTCTATTTTATAGGTACCATCAGCAGCTTCGTATCCGTAACTGTATGAACCGTCATCGTTATGTTTGTCGATTTGTTTTAATATTGGTACTGGTGTCGTGTACTGGTAGTTCTTTTGTTGCTGTCCCTTGACTATGGCGACAAGAGAAACTAATAACATCTGAAACAGAATATAATCCTTCAACAATTGAATAATTGTTATGGGACCGAATTATTTGCATGGGTACAATATTCCATAAGATGATCGAACGATTAGGAACGAGGAGAACACTGTTATGAATCCTTTACATGAAGGTTAAGACGGCCGATGTGACTGTTTTGCCGTAAGGAAGATCGAGTACTCAATATCCATTTGGCTAGACTTGTTGCAAAAGAGTTAATTTAGAATTTATCGCAACGGGATCCACACGCACTGAGCTTAACCTAATACTAATAGATAATTGCCGTATGTAAATCCAAACCACCTTGGTTCTTAAAGATTTAAAATAACCATTGTAATAGCAGAGACTGTTTTATGTAATAGGAACAGCGCGTGCTGTAAGGTCGAATAAGTTAACCGAGCCAACCCTTACTTTTTTACCGCCAAGTAATTGACCGATTATAGAATTCAAACGGTATGCAAATTAACGCGGACCAGAATAAATTCATTACAACGCGGACCTAAGAGATACTTAATCAAGAAAACTGTATAAAAAATTTGGCCTTGCAAATATGTCTTAAAATTGTATATCATTACTTGGTAAAAAATTACTAAGTATGATAAGTTCGACTTTCTATAAATAAATTTTTATGTTGCGAAATAGTGTATAAAAAAATTACGGAAGTTGACGGTTTACAGTTATTATCAAATAAGATGGCAAAAATATATTTTTAGAAATGCATATATTCTACATAAATATAAATGTATTTAATTTTTGAAATTATTTTAATCAAATATATGCACCATAATATACAGTTATTGTAGGAAATACTCTTTTGAAAATTATTTTCATGCGTGAGTCAGTGTGATTATTTCTCTGTTTTTGAGGGAAAGGAATGTATCTCCCGACTGACAGTAAGTCGTGGTAGGGATGAACATTCTGACATATGTCCTATGTGTTGCACGTAGGCAGTTCCGTGTAATTATTAAATTTTGATGTTGATATTGAGAAAACATTTCTTATTTCATCAATTGTTTTACAAAAAATTACCCTATCTCTAATTAAAATATATTCAAAATAAATCATCAGAAACAAAAACGATTTTTTAACAATATGCGAATTTCAGCACGCGTATATATGAGCTCACATATCGCTGTATCCATGCACTGAAAAAAACGTCACAATACACTGAAACCACTTCCTGCATTCAAATAGTTCGCCAATACTTACATATATTTTCATGGTCACCGTTCAATATCTAAGACATGAGACAACAAAGTGGTAAACAGCCATACCTTTAGTTTGTACCGAGCTTTTATAGTTCCACGCCCCACAATATCGTCGAACAAGGTTGTTTTGAATTTGAGAAGATATGTTTTGAATTTTTGTTACGATTTTCGGGAGGCTTGTGTTTTATTTTTGTTTACGTATTTACTTTTATAAAAGAAGGAACTTCTTTCCTTTAGTTATATATCATCAATTTATTATTATTTTTCGAACCCTTTCTAAATACGTTTGGTTATATTATAGATTTTTTAAGGAAGGGAAAAAATTTATCGCCCAACTGTTATTACATTTTATTGAAGTCACTTATTAAAAAAAGGTGCTCATTACTAAATTCCTAGTAAATTAACTAGAACATCAATTTAGCGTAATACGCGACGACTTAACGTTAAACGGTCAAATGTTTAAAATTTAAGTAAGAATGAGATTTTTTTATCATCATATTTCCTTATTTCGTTTTCGAGTTATAGGGGTTTCTTTTAATGTAATATAGTTGTGTCCTAATAATGATTGATTGAAACACAATTTTGGTTTTTGTTCGCTGAGCTTTTGCCTGCCTATAGCTGAGTCACATCAAAACGATTTTTTCATAATAACCTTGACTCCTGTAATGCGAAAATAAAGTAAGTTACAACACTCGTTTTATCTAAATTTTCTATATTAACACTTAGTTTGGACACATAGATAGCAGGTCTTCAAAATTAATGTTTTTATAGGTTTGTTATTAAATATTTTTTTGCTAAATAATTTAGGCTGTATACCCATATGTTTGAGGAGATAATGTTACAAATGTGAATATGCACTGAGATAGTAATATTATTAAAGTGTTGCCACAAATAGGCATGGTAGTAGTAAATATTTATATTTTCAATCCTGCAATCTTGGTATGGAACGAGGTAGGTACCAATACAGTCAATTTCGTTAATATAATATATATAAATTATCTACACACAGGGTTTTATATTTTCGAAATAAATTATTTTAAATTATTGTGTAATGCTTTGACATACTACATGACGTACTGCTCCAGATTCATAATAAAATTCAAATAACGTAAGTCGTTATATAAAAATCTCATTTGCATGAACGAACCGTTTTCACACCCAGACCGCATGGGTATTATCATGTTATTATCATATTCGGCTACAATTTGGATTTCAGTCAATGAAAACGCATTTTACGTAATAAAATTTTTGTATTGTATCCATTAAAGGAAATTTTTTAAGATTTTGTGACTACGTTTTTTTTTTCACTATATGTTTTGAAGCAAAGCTGAAAATATAGAGATTGGAATTTTGAATAAAGCTTTTGCCTTGACGATGAATGCACGTTATTTTTGCCAAGTCAATGAACTCAATGTTGTTATAATAATAATAATAATTTTAATTTAAATTGTTTAGAATTTTAGAAGCCGTGGGGTTATATCTATCTAGTCGCTGACGTAAGAATTTCACACAACGACCATTCATGGAACATTTGCGAGATTAATATTAGGTACACGCCTCACTCAATGTGGCCAACGACATTTTGCTCCGATTTGTGCTTTTGTCGGACTCATATGCCATTTCGTTGGAACAACAATTATTTCGTAATCTCCCACACAGTAAACTACACCTCTTTGAAATATTAAGAAATTATTTTGATAGCATTAACATTGCATAAGCAATTGTTGCACCGTCAATTTGCTGAGCTATTTTGGATGTTTATTAAAGTTTACTAATCAACAATAATATAGTTTTAAATGATATAAACCAATGTGGCCGAGCATGATCGCTTCCCAAATCGTTATTCTAAAAATACCAAAATATGCACACTGTGCGTTAAGCAGAAAAAAACGACATTTATGACATGAAATAGTGAGATTATAGAGTGTAACTAAACCCCTCTATATTTTATGTGAAAAACTGGAATGCAATCTTATTTAGTATCTCGCAAAACCTTCCCATAGAGAAATAACAATTTCGACCGTCTCGACCCATTTCGTACGTTTCCATTACTTTAATCACGTGTATGGGAGCGATCGTATGTTTCCGTTACATTTTAGCAATGGAATTTTGACATTTGTCGGTTCTGAGAATAGTATTCAGGAAAGATAACGATTATGTTAATTTTGATTATGTGACGCCAAGCGTATTCTTATTCTTTGCTTTTGTGATCATTATGACGTAGTACTCATTTTTCCTGATATTTATTATAATGCTGAGCAAAAATGTAAGCAAACACTACTGGTCGTGGTACACAACGGCTTTAAAAACGCTTCTGTCACTCGTTATTAAACACTCCACTAGTGTCAACTCATATTAGTGATTAAAATGGTGTTTTTCTAACTTACCGAATAATATACTATTCTAATATCGAATAAACTTAAAAATGACGTCAGTAGGTATCACATTTATTCAAGTTGATGCGTGCCTTGAGGGACAAAAAACCTGGATCGGAACTGTTTTCGGTAAATACAGATACATACCTACCTTTTTGAATATGATTGTATATCACCTATATCAGAGATGGACAAACAAATATTTTAGAGAAATTATTTTCTTTATATCACTAATTCCGTGCAAGCATATTGAATTTAAATTTTACGAAAAATAAACGTTCTGCAAAAGTTGTAGAGTTCATAACGAATTACTTTGTCCGCAGGGAAAATTTAGATAGAACCCCCTATTTTTCTCCATTTTTCTTTTTATATAAAAACTCCTTTTTTAATTAGTACTTCATAAAAAAAAAACAAATGAAAATTGTAATTTTCTCAATTCACAAAAGAAGTAAATTTCGAATTATTTCATTAACTCTACAACTTTGGTATAACTTTTGCATTTTGTTAAGTTGCAAATAAATGCTCTAGGAAGGAAATATCAGAATTTGGTACTTCTAAAATATGTTTTAGTCCATTTATTATAATTTAATGCTAGAATTACGCATTTAAATTCACAACAAAAAACATACAATTCCATTCAAAATGTGGTACTCTGCACTTTTAATATATAGACAAGATCAGTTTCACTATTTACGAAACTTCTGGATGCCTCCTCCATCGGTTGTTGTTGATTCGAACTTGCTGACGTTTCGCCAATCATCCTGTTGGCTTCTTCAGAGCTTAACTGAAACAATTTCAGTTAACTGAAATAGTATTGCAGTAGCCTCTGGAAGTTTTTTTAAAAAAAAGATCAGTTTCATTGCTTAATTGTCAGATCCACTATCCTATGTTAGATCAAGGTAGTTCACTGAATAGAGATATAATTTAGATGCGGTGGAATGTGGAACACATCGCAGAGGTGGAGTAATTAGGCGTGGTTTATGCCTCGACGGCCTCGGAAGAATCGCAGATGAAATTCCTGGTTCGAGCTAGGTACGGTTAAAAACGAAGCACTCTGATTCTGTTAGAATGTTCATTGGATATCGCCAAAGATTTGGTAAAAGACGTTATAAGATATTAACCTTTTCTTCTTTTGCGATATTTTAGACCACTTTCGGAAAAGAAACTAAAAATATAACAGCTAATAATAAGAGTTGAACTTTATTTAAAAAATAACATTTTAATTTGTAAATAGTATTATATCACATTATATCACATTTTTTGTTGAACTTTGGGTTATATAACTGCCTTGTTACTTCCCGAAATTTTCTCGATGTGCTCTAATGGTCTTATTTTGGTTAATCAACCTTTTATATTGCATATTTTTTCTCAGTTTTTTTCTCACCAATCAAAATTAATTTTGTTAACCGATAGCCATCACAACGCCAGCTAGCCAGCCAGCTAGGACAATGGTAGTGACATTTCTATTTTCAAATGATTTAATAAAAAAAATTTCTTCGTACGCAATTTTTATGGAACATTAGCCTCGACGCTTGACCTCTGGGGATAATTTTCATAAGTGACAATTGTAGTTTTTGAGGTGTTTGCAAAGTCTAGAAATTTGTAAATAAGGACTTTTTGCCCACATTTTAGAAATTATAAAATTAAATATATGAAGAGGAAAATAAACTAAAATAAAATCTGAAAACATACAGATATAACAGAACATAGCAAATTGGAAATGTACTTGATATGTACAGATATTATTATTTAAAAAAAACGCTTATTTTTGGTCTCACCTTTATCAAAGTAACTTCAAAAAAGCAATAAACCTTTTATTTATTTATTTAAAGCATTGTTGATGTTGCTTGGTAGGCAATATTTCTAATATAATAATAAAATAATAATAATAATAATATTTCCAATTGAAAAACAATTTTTTTTTCAGATTTACTAAAGATGTCATCATTAAATAATGATTTTTTGTATAAACTTTCATGTAGCATATGTATTCATATTTAAGTAATGAATAAAATTAAAAAATATATATTTTTCTTCGAATAAAACAGAACTTAATGAATACGATGTTTATTAACATACATTAGTGCTTTAACAGCGAAAGTTGTCCAACTTGTCTTTTATACCGTACAAATTTACAGTTCTGTCGTCATAAGCCAGATAACCTTGGAAGGAATGTTCTTGAATTAAAATGCGGGTATCGCGTCCACTGAAATATGAGTAAAATGGGTCGATTTTGCATTCGAAATTTTAAAATGTAATTTATCCGAAAATATCAGATATTGCATGTATATTGGTTAGCTTTAAAGGGAAATATTATATTTAGAAGATGGGGTCATAGTCGACTTTGTAAAAAGACATACAAAAGGAACTTCCTAAAAATAGATTATATTGTTTATAGAATATATTAAATATAGTTCAGTATTGTTGTTGAAATTTCAGAAGATTCATTTTTGTAATCTACGTTAAACCAGTTTAATTTCTCTCATTATTACCACCCAAATATGGATAGGAAATAATAGCAATAGAAGAATCAATCAATCTATCGTGTCTATCAGTTGACTACAAATTTTTATTGCATTTCGCGTATTGTTGAGGTGTACCAAAAATTTTTCAATAGTTAAAAGTAAAAAATCACGTTTAGACTAGGATCCTGGTAGGAAGTAAAAAATAATACTGTGTCAAGCCAGTCAGTCTTTATTGCTACTCCTATTACTAAGTTTTATTAAAATACTTAATAACACAACCAGGCAACACTATGGAAACCACAAATAACAGAAGACCATTAACAAATAAATATGTCTAAAATATCTTAGTACTAATGGTTCTTATTATATATTCCACACAACGTGTCTGCGGGAAACGCGGAAATGTCTTCCTGAAGACAGTTCACTCACTGATTTTTGCGCGATGCTATCTCTCCAATGGCAACATTGCGTTTAATACTAATAGCCTAATTTCTTGAGCGCTTTTAAATCCACGTCTTTGTAGTAGTCCTCGCTACAAAATAAAATTTTGCTGAAATGCCGCGACACCAATTGGTGACCGAGGTGTAGTTACAGATTTCATTTGGAATTTGAACGAGCTTGTACTCAACTTTACTAACTTCTTCGAGTTTTTACATGCATTTATATTTATGTATATTATTTGTAAATTACAAAATAAGTCAAAACCTTTCAAAGGGTGAGTATTAAATAACTGTGCAGAAGAAAATTAAAGATACAGGTGAAATATAAAGAAATTCGTGCAAAAAAGGTCTATATACCTGTAATAACCAGTTATAGAATGAAGTTTCTTAAATTTCATGCTGGAAGTTAAGAAATGATTATTATTAGTTATGTTATTTTCACATACACGATGCAGATGGACGGTTGGCTGGGATAATTTTTGTGGGTAACGTAACAAATTAAAATCCAGTGCTACAAAACATCCATTTATTGTCGTAAAAAACGTAATAAAAATTTTGTACCGTCGTTAAACTGTAGAAAGTCTCTCAGCGCGTCGTTCGATAGAAAAATAATTACAACTTGGACAGTCAATAGGATAAGAGCTTAATTGGTCTTGTAAAATATCACTTTTGTTTCAAGATATTTTGCCTTGCCTTCAACTTGGGAAAGGTAAAACAAATTGAGTCAATAATCTAAGAATATAATACTTAAATAGAAAATTCCGATTATCATCCTATTGACCGTCCGTCAATCTACCGACTGCGCCCAAGCGCATTTGCAACGGTTTAAACACAATCATAGCATAAATAACACTACACTCGATGGAACCTGTCTTCAACGACAGATTGGGAAGTTCTTGAAAATGAGTATTACGGGGTAAATTTGTCGGTTTTAAAGGAAGTTAGTTTGAAGGTTCTGGGGCGTTGCGGGAAGCGGGAGCCGGCCTGGGTTTTTTAGCTGCAGGGGCCGCCCTCGAAGAGCCGCTCGATTGAAGACCAGCCAAAAGTTCGCTTTTGCGAATGCTCTTCAGATCCAGATCGCCATAGTAGTCCTCACTGTAAATGCCCCCAAGGATAGAGGAATAAGATTTTTGGATTACGTGTAATTGCTAGGTGTTCGTTTTGCGATTATAATAAACATAATAGTATTAATGCCCGCGAAACATATAAACACCAAAATATTTGAATTTTTTTTTAAATTTGGATGTTTTCAAGCTTTTTATTTTAACTTTTACTATGTTATTGTTGACATATAGCAAGAAATATTAATGAAACATACATGAATTTTAAATATAACGAAAACAATTGGCATAAAAGTGCACGCAATAAGGAACTGCTTATTGAAAATTTGAAGTTCAAATTCAAGTTTCTTCATTACTTTTGTGTTCAGTTCGAAGTCACTTGATTATCGATCTTTTGTTAGCTGAGTACCTATAGTGATCGTATAAAAGATCGGTTCAGCCATCAACTTCTTTTAATGTTGGCCTCAGAAAGCGATCCTCAATGCTATTTCATCTTAAATTAATAGTTTTGATTAGTTTGAAAGTACCGTACCTTATTTTGAAGATCCAATGAACAATTGCTTATAGATAAAAAAATATATTTTTTAATTAAAATTCAAATTAAATTTGTTTAAGCTGAATGAATTATGTCATTGTGAGTACCAACATTTTTCATGAAATTAATAGAGCGTTTCTTTAGAAACTCTTATCACTCTTATCACTAGAGTAACTGCATATTCACTAATGAAAGATGTTTAATTCTTATTGGAAGTATATAGATCATTTCTCAAGGAGAATCTAAATATCTTCCAAATACGGTATTGGAAACTCCATTTTCTATTTTAAGTTTTTCATCCTCAACTAATCTTGCAACTCAATTTCACGCCTAGAATATTGCCATAGTTATTTATCACTTTTTGTTTTATCTAGAATCAAAGTTTGATTAACGAAAGATAATCTATCTGCAATAACCATTTCTCAAAATAAGTATTTTGAAAAATAGAAGTAAAAAAATTAATTTGAAAATTTCGGAGCGAAGGTCAAAATATTGTGTAGTGCTTTCAAAATTTTATTTTTTCTAGTAATCGGTGGTTCAATTTTTTGGATTTACTATTCAAGAAAATTATGGTATTAGTCAGAAAATGAAATTAAGGAAAAAGTGCGAAACAGACAGAAAGTGTAAATAGTTTATGAGTGCTTATTTGCCGCAATAGACAGTTAATACTTAGTCACAAAGGTCCATAAATACTGTACACGGATATTACCACCACCAGATTTGAATTGTATCCCCGTCAGGTTTTCTGCTGCCAATAGTGTTACTTACCATCCAGGAACATCTTCAGGATCTTCGCAGTTACCAGTGCCATCAGCATCACCGATTTTGAAAACTGTACCAATAGGGCATCCGTATTCGCGTGCTTGGCCTTTCCGGAAAAAGAGATTTTGTTAAATAACATCCTTCAATAGAATGTTGCAGATATTCACCTTCTAAGCAAATGTAGTATTTCCTGCAGTCGTCGGGGTGGGCGTGACGTGAAAATGATCCGGTATTACTTACTTGGTCGCCCGTTGGACAAGTGAATCCTCCAGCTACTTCTAAAAATAGTAACCATCACATTGTCGAGATTAAATTGGGGACCCAATTTTGAATTTTGTGTCATTTTTGATGTCCTGTAAGCGGACGTGGTGTGCCGAATGTGATCCAATTTGAAGTAGCCAAATGTAAGTGGAGATGTATATGTAAGTCTTATAAACTATGTTATGGTTTGTGGACTGTGACTTGTTTTCTCATCACCGTGAAATGTTAATTTCAGAGTGATGAGGTTTGAGCAAGGTGACTCTACATTCAAGGCTGGAATTTCTTACAAATAACATTGCACCTTTTTTTCGAAAACGCCGTGAAAATGGGTATACTACCAAATTTCATTAAATGCTATAAGTAAAATTATCTATATTTTATGATCTGTAGAATACATAGCGTGTTGTAGCATTCGTTTTGATAAAATACCAAGAAGTTTCAGCTTTGCTAGGTGACAACGTAACCAATATAGATTAAAAATTTATTTTAAATATTTTTTTGTGTATTTTACAATAAAAACTGTTTGTTGAATAGGTAATTCAGTGACGACATGTATGTATTATGGGGTTGAGCGTACCTTCGTTTTTACATTCTGGCACTTGGTCAGCCCACATGCAAACACGAGCTTCACGGTCATACGCTAATCCAGGCGAGCATTGGTATCTGGATGCCTCTCCGTTCCAGCAGTTCCAGAAGACATCGCATTTACTTTCGTCGGCGAAAATACCATAAAGACGTTCGCAATGTGTTGTCGAGATCGGTGGTTCTTAAAAACATTTAGATACAATTATTAAGGGAAAATCGGAAACGTCATAGAAAATATAAAACACGAATGCGCCATCTGGCAGAGTTTCATTATTTGGAAACTGCATAAATTCGCCTCGATTATAGTGATTTACTCTTTATTCCAATCGCAGTTGTTATTCAAGTTAATGATCTAGAAATTATCGAGAAAGCGAACATTTATTATTCAATTCGTTGTATGCTAACGACCACTACTGAACTAGTCGTAAGTTAATTAGCCTTGGTTTATTGATTGCACCTAAAACGGTTATCTTAAAAGGTTACGGCTAAAACTTACCAAGATCAAGTCTGTCACCGCAGTCGACGTTATGGATGTAATCACAGTTTTCAGTCAAAAATTTGGGATCGCTGGCGTCAAAAGCCAAGCCGTTTCCGCAAGTTTTCAGTTCCGCCACATTGTTATCACATTTCCAGTATTTGTCGCACGACCTACTGTGAGGATAGAAGCCGAAGTCATCGGGACATTTGAAATTTTCTTGGGCTTGTGCTGAAAACGGTCGAAATTGTGAACAATTTTTTATTATTTTTGATATAGCTTCATGTACGGTGAGATACGAACTATAATTAGTTAATTAAACTTTATTGTACAAGGTACTGGTAAACAAAAATGAGTTACAAAGTTGTTAGACGTCTTTATATTGACTTTTTATGAGTTTACTATTAGCTATATAAAAATATGTAACATATTTATTGCAGCCACTTCTTTAGAATGATGGACAAAAATGCAAACTATTGTTGGTTAAGAAATAATATGCAAGGAATTTTTTTTCGAAATTTTCCGATTGTTTAATATGGTGGCAACAATCATGGGGTTGGTGACTCATTGCTTAAAACATTGAAACTATATAAAAATATTCCTGATTTTAAATAACATTGTATCATATCGTTTAATGTTTATTGTGTTTGTTTTTATATTTTATTAACTATGCTAGATACCGTTTGATTTAGAACCATTCTACACCTACAATTATTATCGAACATTCACCACTTTCCACAATAACTGTATTCTGGTTGAAATTTATATTTTGATCTCTTTATAAGACAATTTATATCAACTCAATATAAATTTGTAGTCAGTACCCTGTATTAATTTTTGAGTAAACTAAACTAAAAAAATTGTAGAACATTTCTAATGTTTAACTTTTAATTGACTTGTAGATTCTTGCTAGAGACATGAAACTACGACTCTATTTAGTATTAGTATGTTTGTATACGAAGCTACATAGCGAGTAGGTATCTAAATATTTACTTGGTCTTAGTTCTAATCCAAAGAGTAAACCATTTGAGGTTCTAATAAGATATTTTTATTAATATATCACATTGACCTTGGAATAGATTCTTAAGGTGATATCATTTTCCAATTGCGAAAGAAGAAGATCTTTGCAATCGTCTCGAATTCGATGCTTGCGGTTTTGTGCACTTTTTTACGCCTTATATTTTTAAAACCTGATATCTGCAGGTGTGGCTTTTGAAATAATATTCGCGCACTGGGTTAAAGTCCTGTATCTGGGGCACGGCGAATTTACTTTTAGTCGTATTCGCCAAGGAAACATAAAACTGGACATAAGTTATTTGTTATAGTTTTATTATTTGGTAGGTAACGCGAATTTTAATATCTGCAGGGTACAGTTTTCGATGAAATGGCAAACTGAGATTGTGGTGGTCTATAGCGAGTGTGGCATTGCATTAATATATTATATTGGCAAACGTCGTGACATTTGGGTGCTTGGCGGCATTTTAAAAAGTATTCGGGTGCGCACGTAAAGGCTGCCGAAATGGAAAGTGAATTCTTCAAATCGAAAATATTAACGAGAACCAGTTTTTGTTGCGACAGACCTGCGAAGCAACATAATTTATATGTTGGGAGATTATTTTCGGAAACTTATTTAACGTCTGTGGGCTCATTCGAAGGAAATATTGTTGACCCGATGATCATTGATGAAATTGAATTGAATTTATGACCAAAATGCATTTTTTTATTCTCCCATTCGATTAGTGCGTGATTTAAGTTACTGAGGGCTACTCAAAAGTTTATCTAAATATCAAACAATTAATTCAGATAAAGATGTCGGGCAGTCTTTGATATCTAATAAACTACTAAGAGAGGCATTTTATATTTTCTTGTAAATATTTAATTATATTATTATAAAGTATGTATTTCTTTAGAAAGAGACGTGATTATTTTCAGTTTTAAAACTCAAAAGTATTCAACTCTAAGTTCACATAAATAAAAATTTAATATATATTTTTTAATATAAAATTAATTATTTCATCTATTTAAAATATTTATTAATTTATCTATGGAACATGGTGGAAAATGTTGCAAAATTTATTGTGACTACTATTAATGAAGTTTGATATAAACAATTAACGAAAATTAATTCGAAAGCATAGAATGGTCAAGAACTTTAAAAATTGGTCAAAATGGGAATCACTCAAAAAAATCGTAAACTAAAAAACAGAGTAGACAATTGGTATGTAGATATGAATCTGTGTGTTGAGGAAGTTTTTTCTTCGAGATTTACTTTGACCTAATTAGAGACCGCCCAAAAAGGTACACCCGATATTTTGTTAGATAAAATTTTAACAACAAATTTTTATTACCATTAAAATTATCTAAGAATTTTATTTATTTAATAGTAATAGCAAAAATAGTACCAATATATCAAGATCATTTAATAGAATATAATATTCTATTGCAATTAACAGTAATTAATATAATTTTCAAAAGAATTACTCCAAATTACCATATCTAGACTACTACTTTATTGCACAATTGTACCTAAAGTGTAAAATTTTTTCTCCATCAATTTTACCTGTAAAGTAGATTTGACAGAAGCCTAACAATAATGCAAAAAATACACTCAAATACATAAATATCAAAGTAAAAGTTTCAAAATTCTAAAAATTTCAAGTATATGCCCACTAGCAATTATTGATATTTTCAAATTAGTTTTACAATTGTGAACTTACTATGCAATATTTATTTTTTCATTTCTTCCCTACATTGAAAATAAGCATGCATTTGAAATGTTGAGTATCTGGAGTTTTGTACTTTAATATTGTTGACTTTTATCATAAATATTATAGCTTGAATCCGACGAATATTTAATAATTCACTCTCTCTATAGACTAATTCTGTCGGGTACCTTTTATTTTTTAATAACATCACTACCAGCATCAATCCAAACAACCATGCCGTGATTCTGACACCACCATGGTATACGAAACGAAGACGTATTGAGGATTTCAGAGTGAGATATTTCATTTATAGAATTTAAATATTAATTTTCTTACTTTGCCGTAACATTTGCAATATGTTCTTCCTTTGTAAAGTTATCATCTAAAATTAACGCCAAATATTTTAAGGACGTGGAGGAGGACAAGGAGGTATTGGTACAATGCAATATAACAATTTGTGTATTTCATATTAAATGTGTTCACATTTGAATATTAATTTCACTGTTTAGAGTTTGAACTTGAACTTTTTGCACTTGCTTTCAACCCTTTGTATGTAACCATATGATACATTCTGTATTATTTTGTGGCTAAATGAATACTATTATTTTTAATAATTACTACGAACGGACTGATCCCATTGAGTAAGTGTTAATTTTTTCTCGAATATTTCTCCTAAGCAATAACTGAAAAAGCAAATAAATATACTTCAGTTATTACATCACCAACTTTCTTTTTCTTTAGTATACGCACGCATTGAGGAAAACAGGAAATTCTTCATATTGGGAGCGCACAGCGCATAGTTTTTGATGACATAATATTTATTTACGTATTATGTAAAATAATAATATTGGAAATGGATTTCCAGTTAAACATTGAAGCGGCAGTTCTTTTACCACTTCATACGTGTTACTGCTAAATACGCTATATGTCACCACGCCTTCTTGAATCAGTCCTTTTAAGCGATCGACATAGAACAAAATCCATTGAAATGCCGTTAATCATTCAATAAATGTCAAGCCAAGAAATGAGACTCCTGCCTACGTTATTCTTCAAGTATGCATTCAATACTAGCAGTCGTGAAAATATAGAGTTGCATGAAGATATATTTATTTATTGACTTGAAATATATCTAGAATTTGGAATCTTGCTTTGTTGCTACTAGAGAAAAATCAATTTATCCATTCCTTGAAACTGTTGCTCCACACAATCAAAGTTTGGGCAGAGCTCCCCACAAAATTAGTGAAACACGTTTTCTAGCACGTTCAGTTCATACTTAATTCAAGTATACATCCGTCTTCGTAACTTAAGACCGGTTTACCTGTTTACCTATATTCGATTAGATAACGAATTATATTTTCTGAAGTGTACACCTTACTTTTAACCTTGGCTTCAAATAGCAGGCTAATGGTTGAAGAAAATCCAACAACGTGATAGAACAACACATATAAAATGCAACGTTAACTCAGAAATACCTACACAATTCAAGGTTATCGGGTATTATAGATTTTAGCAAACTTAAACGATTTGTAGTAATTGTTTTTCCGATTTGCGTGTAAAGGTCAGTGTCGTGTTTTCCGCAATGTTGGAATTCCTTCGAATTTGTTACGTCAAAGCAGACATTATTTTCAAATTTAACCAATTTTGTTTTAAATCTTCTTAGATCGTTTGCCTGCTACTGAAAACAAACGTTTTCAATAGAATTAAGGTTAATAACCCTTCGCAATTTAATGCTGGTTTTTTCCGAACATTGCGGTTTTCACCATGGGAAGTCGACGGACTTTCAAGTACTGTAAACGTTCCCATGATGGGAGAATTTCAATTAACTTAGTTATGCCATCCGAAACCGCATCTTTTGTGATTCAACGTATTGAATAAATTTGCACTTGTCTATTTTGCACGGATTTGCCAGAACGATGAAACGTACGGTAAATTTTAATTATTATACTAATGTTTCTTATACATATTTCAATGTACAACCGTTAATCCACTGTTTGGTTAACGTTAACTAGCACTGGTGTTATGGAGGTTTCAGAATGTCCATGTAAGAAACAATAGCGATCGGAAAAAAATAGCTACTTTTACACATCTTACCATAATCTTAAATTTTCAGTTACTTTTACGGAAGGTTTCCTTTTACCATAGGAAAACCTGTCTTTTGCAAATTTATACATTTTGTGCACACTAAAATTTTTGATTGAAATATTCCAACACAGAGCATAGACAAAGACAACAAGAAAGTAAAGGATGACAGAAATTCTCATCCATATCAGATAAGAATATCTACATGCCTTCTGACGCCATTGTGGTTAGTATTCTGAAGAATCGTGCTAATGTTCATTATTTTTATTATCCTTTTGAAGTACCTACCCAATAATCAAATCAAAAAAGGCAGTTGCAGAGTGCTTATTTCATTTCAGAAAACATGTAAATGGAACACAAACCGTTGTATCGATAGTTTGCTGGATTCCTCGATTGTCTGAACTTAATAACCACTTCGTTTTCATCACAACGTTTCTATCGTGTCTGATCTAATAGAAAAAAATACTCTATAGGTAAAAAGTGGAATCCGGAGCAATTTATCCAGAAAGTGTAGTAATGTTGGAACATTTTGAAGATGAAAATAGCGCCAACGCTTCGACAGGATCCATTCTGAATCGCTGTTTGAAAAACTGACTGGGGTGAGTGCTGGTGACTGGTGACTTGTTGAGGAGAATGGAATGGAATTTATTCTCCAAATTCCACTATCCTAATGGTTCAAAATCATGGGATATTCAGATAAGAGGTCAAGTGGGGTTCCACTTGACCTCTTATGGTTCAACATATTTGGCAGTAATATTCGCGCCTACAAATCTGCTTATAAACAGTTTATACAAATATATCGTGAGGATAATGGCTGAATTCGTACAGGTCTGCCATCATATAACAGGGTAAAGGCGTATTTAAGGATTTCACACCAAAATAAAAAAAAAAGATGCAGATTATAGTCGAAAATTAATATGCAACAATATTTTGTTGCATAAAAGAAAGTATTAGGTTAGAAATTTGATCGAAAGTTTTTCTTTTATTCTGAAAAGTATCCTCTAGAGTAGCGTAGAGATTTGTTTTTCTTTTTTAATTTTACCGAAATTAATTCTAAACATTCGTATTCCCACTCCGATAAAATTAACGATGAATATTAAGTGTGGCACTTGATATGCAGCAACTTCATTCTCTATTTATTAAATTTAATTAACAAATTAATTTCCTTTCAATATTGAACCTTTGCTCTTCAATTTGTGTGTTAATATAATTAATTATAATAAGAAAAAAAGTGTTTTTCAATTGCAAGGTGGACAGTCATTTACATGCTTTATCCATGATTTTACCTGTGACAAAAACGTCAAATTATAGCTGTGTGTAGGCATTGTGCGAGTTAAATTGAGTTGAACTTTGACCAATTAACACTACCTTTAAAACTAGAACTATATGAAAATAGTCGGAATGAAAATATTTCCATGTTCTATAAAAGATCCAGGCGCAGCAAATGTTGTCGACAATCTGTTAATCAAAATTCGGTAAAAACCACAAAACACTAATGAAACATTACTAGGCTTAGTACTACTATGCCAAAAAGTACAGCATATTGTTGGATAGATCCACATTTCTCGTTTGAAGGGCGCAGATATAAACAAAACGTTGATCTCTTGTTGTCCTGGTACGCTCAACAGACTTCCTACTCATAGAGAGCACTTAAATAACAATTAGTTCAAAGTAGTCCAGACAATGAGCCAATGAGAAATAAACACAAATCAAGATTATTATCTAGGTATTTAAATTATCGGCTACTGACATAAGGCGATTGCCTAGGCAAAGACAATTCTAAACGGCTATGAAAGCGACTCCGGTTTGTGTCACAATTGGCTCTTGCACAAAACCGAATCGTGTTTTATTGGAATTTAACCGTTTCACAAACAAAACTGGTACATAACTCGAAAGTGTAAACACACATTTGTTAATTTACGATGCGTGCCGATATTCGCGAGCCAATTTTGTTGTTCTCCATGGTTCTTTTTTCGATACAATGAAAGTTTTCTTACAAGTTGTAGGTGAAATTGCGAGCAGCGGCAGTGTGGGGGACAATCACGCATTTTGCCTTGATTTTCTTCGACATAAATTTATTGCCCATTGGTTGTAGAAAATACGCGGAAATGTCAGCAAACTGGATTCCGTATAATAATACATAAACCTCAGGCTATAAAACTAGGATTTGACGAAAAAGAATCCTGTTCAAAATATCGGAAACAATTTCCAACCAAAGATAAACAAGATGTTTTGTTTTATAAAGATGAACTCTAATACGGTTTCAAACCGTGAATTTTAAAAGTTTTGGTAACATTTTTCATTGTCAAGTGGTAATGTTATTGCTATAGAAGGAAGGAAACTAAGTCGGACTAGTCAAACTAATATAGAGAGATGACATTCGCAGAACAAAAATTTCAGCGAATTTATTTCCCAGCCATCATTTTCATTCCATTTATCTGTTTCTGTAATCAGTATCAAAGTATCAAGTTAAAACATTTAACATTAACATATTATAATTTGTGAAAAATGGTCTTGACGTCAATAAATTTGGTTTACTAATACTGAAGTGACAAATTAAAATATTTTCATCAAAGTAAAATGTTTTCAGAATTACATTAGCCTTCAGTACTTAAAATTGAACTCAAGGCATGAATTCATATGACGGCATTCAATAATTGGTATGGAAGCATCAGAACTAGCACTAGGGCTTCATTATTAGAATCAACGAAAAATACAAATTATAGAAAATATATTTTTATAGTTTTACCGCTTTTTCTGCTTGACTTTATATACAGCAGAATGAAGTTCATATAGCGTTTACAGTACAGAAGTAGAATCGCTCATCATGTATGTATACTTCTACTCATTTATTAGATTTTAACCGAAACAAATGAGGATTATCTGGCTCTACAAGCACTAATACTCATTGGCAAGCTAGCACACTTGTAGTTTAATAGCTTCATTATTAAAATAAATGAAAAATAAAAATGGTAGGGAATACATTTTTATCATTAAGTAAAATTTCAATACTTTTGATTGTTTTTATTGACATGGTATATATAACAATAATATAATGATACATAAGAGCACCCATTTTTCAAACTATGCCCCTTCTGCTTGACTTCAAATATATTTTAATAATATTTAGAGAAAATTTAACCAACCAGATTTCATAACCCTATAATTTTAACAAACTTTTGCCCAAATCGCATGTATCTATTCAAAGTGAAAGCGCGAAAGCTAAGCGATTAATTATATTAAATTAAGAAATTTGTAATCCAAGTTCGAATAAGGTCTTTGAATATTATAATAAATTTTTGATTCTAATAACTTAAATATTCCCAATTAAAAACCTACCCCGATCAAATATTATCCAAATCTCCGATTCACCCCTATTTCACACGTCACATACCATCACAGTCACAACCACGTTTGCTATCACGTCGCATTATATCCAAAAAAGACGTCACGCGGTGGCAGGAGGCGCAAAAAAATGCCGGTTGTGTGGGTACATACCAGAAAAGATGAAGGCGCCAAGCACCAGTACGCACAACAGGCTCTGCATTATTTTCGTTCACTTTCAAATTGACTATTACGGGCCGCCAAGCGGGTGGTTCACATTTTATAGTGAGCGGAATGTCTGGGTCCCCCGCCACGCCACTGGTCGATTCTCGAATCTGATATCTCTTTCCTGCTGACGACTGCCAGCGTCCGGGGCGTTGCGTCAGGGGCGTCGGGTATTGGGGTGCGCCCAATGGTTTCAAACCCTTTCAATCCTATAGGAAAATTGTTATGAAGATCTCAAAAAATCATTTTCCTATGTTTATTGAAAATATGGCAAGAGCTAGTGAGTCAACGAGTTTCAAATTATTACATTTCCGTAGGTTGAAATCTCCTCTTTTCAGTTTCTTTTTTTTTCATACAGTCTAAAAAGTATAAAAAAGGGTCGCAGAAATATACTCAAACTTACGAGCATTGTAAGAGGATCTGAGACAGGCTGTTGAAGACGTTAAATGTTAATTTTCAGTCAGTCAGTATTACGATATCGAATATTGGGCAGTATTAAAGAATCGGTCAGTTTTTACTTCATAGCTGTGTTTAACACATCTTTGTGAGAGTAGAGAATCCGGAATTTATGGAACTACTTTACGTGACCATCAATGCGAAGATTACTGTCAAAAAACACCCCCCAATTTTTACAATCAGCAACAGGCCTATAATGAATTTATAATAACAGCTTCTAGATATATTAAAAATATTGAGAATGGAAGACCACTATGGGCATGCGGAAACGAGGAAACTTTTTTTTTATGTATCGGTTAAAATTTTAGGTTAAGTGATTGGTGATCGCTGTTTAGAAAACAAATGGAGCAAAGTGCAGGTTCATGGTTGAAACTTAGAGGCATATGAGGACGCTATATTACGTAACTAACAACTATCAAAACTAACAAAAACACTTCCTTCGTAACTAGGCGTACTATTTACACTTACCTAATAAATTATAATAATATTCGCCTAAATAATGCTAATTTATAAGCATATAATAGATGGTTTTTGTCGCTGCCTCAATGTAAGTGGACAACCGATATTTTATTAGTAAAAAATTATCTCTACGCCCCTGAAATTGGTTTCAGAGGATACACGCAAGTCTTTTTTTACTGCGCTAGGATGTGGTGAGTTTCGATCTGATAACGTTCTTATTGAATGCAAAATTGCAGTTAAACTCTGAATACAAAGCTTATAACCTCAGCATATTTAAAATATGTTTTTTGCTTTTATTTGTAGAAACTGGAATAAAAACAGCTTATATCGATGAAATTCAGAAGATAGCAATTAAATATTATTTAGCGAATTCGGTCAAATTTTCTTTGTACATCATGTCAAGTATACTGCAGATATAATATTTAACAGTGACAAAGTTGTCTTCCTCAATAAAAACCGATATCGGTATATTATTACTCACTTAAAATTCAATTATTGTTGCTAAAGAAATGTTAAATAACTTTTACTCGGAAGAATGTAAAACCACTAATAGACTATGCATTGAAGGTTGCGTTACCTACCTAAATATTTTTCACGGCGATTAGTTTTCCCTCTCTTCGGTTTAAACACTTTTTAAATGTTGCAAAATTTTTCCACGTTGCAAAAATAAATCACGGTTTATTGGACTTCAAATATTTAAAGTTGTAGCTTAAATCAAACCAGACCTGATGTATACGTAAAACTCTAAACAAATAGAAACAAATTGAATAGAAAATATAAGGAACGCCAAATTAAAACAAAAAATTTATAAATATTTTGATTTTTTTTTTAATTTTTGGAAATAAATACAAATAATAATGTATATACTTAAAATAAGCAATTATATATACGAAATCTCAACATGTGTCAGCTCAATTTCCTACAGTTTTGTACCATAATTGCCGATTCGTTATAACACAATAAACATAAACAAATAAAAGGCAAATTGAAGGGCTTTATAAAAAATTAAAAACTTACTATTAAAAAAAAGTAAAGACAAAATGAAATAGAGCAACACAGAATTAGATAAGAAAACAAAAAAAAGTTCAAAAAGAATTACAGAAACAAAGGAACAATTTACCACTGGCGAAGTTTAGATGACGTGCTATTCTTACACTCAAGTTTTTGGATTTTCTCCATTAAATTCCTTTTAAGAATGTCGAAAATTTTCGTCACCCATTTTTTATAAATTGAACGACATAAGTTATTGCAAGCGCTTTTTGATGTAGCTTTTTAGAAGAAACGTTATTGCAACTGTTCAAAAATTACGTATATGGCAAACACATCGATTATCGTAGAAACGAGTCATTTCACCATAAGAAAGTGGACGTACATAACAATAAGGTTTTTATTTAGTTAAAACAATTTTCACAACAGCGATTTCATGCTTTTTTAACGATAAATAATATGCATTCGAACACACGGTCTCAAACATTAAACAATTATCAAGTGGCGTGGGAATGCTACTGAAAAGTAGGTTAGGTAATGAATTTTCAACTAATTTCTAATAATAATTACGGTCGGATTTCAAGTTTATTATTACCGCCTTGCACTTCGCGGTTATTGTGGAACTGTTTTGAGGAATCGCCCGAACTAGATCAAGATCATTGGCCATGCCTACTTTTTGCCTTGTAATCGTTTTCGCAAAATATACGGCGGATTGATTGAATTTTGATTAAACTGATTTATTGAAAGCTTTAGACAAACCTAAAGAGACGAAAACCATTCAAGAATTGAATAGTTGATTGAATTGAATATATATTTTGCGCAATTTTGCAGTCATTGTTTTTTACTAATATAGGTAGGGTACGCTATTCGATAAAGTCACTAGAAAACAAAAAGGCAAATTTTAGAAGGGGGTGGAGTGGAACCCTGGGTGGAACAAAAATAACTTCATGACTGGGACGTATTTTATTGCCACACCATACATTTGAAAACATCTGGACATCGCCATTTGTTATGAAAGCGCCCTTTAGGATGGTTCGAGGATCCAACTGGGATTCCTTCAAAGTCTTCGGTCTTGAATTTCTGAAATTTACCAATTTTCATTTTTTTTTTAAATTAAATTTTGCGTAGAAGGTCTTTTTGAATTCTTTCAAAATTGATGGGCAAAATAATTGTTTGTTGTTAGCAGTTTTCGAATTATATGATTTTTTTTTACTAATTGTTTCAACTCCTCTCAACATGGCAGTTATAGAAGTAATTGATTATTATTATTATTATTATTATTATTACTAGTTCCACTGTTATAGATTGTTATTAATATTATTCGTACAGTTCGTACTATTAGAGACTGTTTTCCAAAATATCTTAGCTAATTTACCACTTCACACAACCAGGATTCCAGGTCAACTTACACTAATCCCTTCACAAAATTGAGGTATAAAAGTTTGTTATATAAACTCAATTGCACGTACTGTTTCGATGTTCCCTTTACAACGAGGTTAGAACTATTCCGTTTAAAGATGTGGAGTTTTTTGTGGAAAAACTGTATAATCTCACGTCTAGAACCGGGGTGGATATCTGTTCAGGGTTGATATCGATTCTAAATTTAGGTGGTTTCTTACTAATCAATCAATAAAATCAATAAAATGTATCAGTAATCAAGTTAAACTTTTTTTCCTATTATTATTAACTTCTTGTTTTATTTTATTTTGTTTATTTCACAAAATGTTTTTTCACTAGAGATAATTTAAATTAATTAAAATTGAATTGATAGTTTTAACTCTGAAGCTTGTAATATTATTTTTTAAATGAATGGTTTACTTTCACTTCGAACTTAAAACGATTGTTTAAATTCTAATTAAAATTAATTAATTAACCTAAAATATTCAGTAAGGAGTTTTTGATATGTTTCATTGAATGTGGAAGACAATGTTTCAGTGAAAATCCGTCACTGAGTTGGGTGTAGTAGACTATGAAGTTGGCCAACCCGCCAGTACTGTCATAAATACATTTTGTTTAAATTTGTTCTTCTTCCGTGTGCGTTTTTGTGTTCTTTAAGTCATATATGTAATGAACAGTTGACCTCATCAACCGCATTCAAAGGAACTTGATAGATGCACACTGTCTCCTGATTCGATATTCTAGTTCGGGTTCTGCTCAAGATATATCTAAAAGACGATCGGTCCTTTTTTCGCTGTTCGTTTTGTGAATCATTAAGAGAGGGAGTCATGTTGGCGTACTATTTAGTCTGTTTTATAACTTGCTCTAATTTATTGCTTCAGCAGCTTGCCCGCTGCATATTTTCATTACTCATTTACATAATGGTTTGGCTATTTCAAATTTGGTTGCTCCAGAATGATTGGACTGATAATTTAGATAGTGTCCCGTACATGTTAGTTGTCGATATACCCAAAAAACGCTCTTATAAAAATATGGGCAGATTTTTAGATTTTTAAATGGGTTTGAAGTTAGCTTGTTAGTTTAGCTGCTGCCTTATGCTATTATTGTTATTTGTATTATGTTATATAATTGTTTTTTACGCGATTGTGTCTTAGGATCATACGATAAATAATTAAATAAATTAAATAAAAATTTAGTCAGACTTTGGATTTGACGCAGTGTTTTTGGCAAGGATTTTAAAGCCATACTGTCACTGGAGTAAAGAAAATAAGAGTTATGCAGATAGCACATTATTAGCTCCGTCACTCTTTCAAGTGTAAACGAAATTGATTCTCAAAAATGTCATTTCTCAGTCTTGAAATGCATCGAATGGCCTTAGTGATTTTCAATTTGTTTTTATCACAATCTCTTTGATAACTGTCTCGTTAGTTGAAAAAATTGACAAAAAACAGTAGGTAAATCGATCAATTTCTAAGTCACAATTTGATGTGTTTCTAGGTCTCGTTGTTTGCTAGTTGGTTTCAGAATTCCAGTGATCTTCTTCAATCAGGCTTTAGAGGCCTTGAAAATCCGTTGTGTCTACCCAATGATTTTGTAATATGCTGTTAAAACAATTATGCCAACCAAATACTTTAACCGTGGGTTGCATGGACTTGCAACAACCGCGTCACTTCCTCGTGCGTTGTACCGCTGTACGACCTGACGCAGATCTGTAAGTTCGATTCATATTCAAAGAAAATTCCAATTAATATACTATCTGTTAAAAGCGTCACAGCGTGGTGACTTA